TCCTTCGTATCTCAAGTAAGATACTGGGAGATTGTTGGTTGTGTAATTAATATTGGAACCTGGCATAGCCGGTTAAATGTAACGATTTTGAATTCACTTAATTAACATACCTATTGAATAGCGTCACTGGCATAATCAAGTACATTTATTTGTGTGTCACATATTTTTCTTGTTGGAAATTATTTGTTTCCTTTATTAGGGTGGGGACCAGTGATAGCTGCTGGTAATTGTCATAACAATTAAGGGGTTTTATATATGTTATTTATGCATGATAGATTTTTAATATGGGTAACCTTCTGTGATTTCGCACTGTGGTAAGTTTGATATATATATTTATTTATTGAATTTTGTGTGTTGGGTGGCAGCAAATCAGGCGGCCCCAATTTGATTCTTTGTGATGCATCACCAGGTATCTTAAGTATTTATGTGTAACTGATCGGTGTAATAGTTCGTATTGCGTACATTTGCTTGGTACGTTTTGAGGTAGCAGATAAATCGGAAATCCGATATTATTCCCTGCTACTCGGGTGTTCGACGTCGAAGTCATAGGGGGGGTTGATTGTTGTCCTTTAAATTTTGGATTATTTATTTGCTTGTTGTCATTTTAAAAGGGGGGGGGGAGATTTTGGGTACTTGATTCGGCGACCGTTTAATTGGTTTGTGTGGCACGAGTTGCAGATTCTATTATTTACTCTTGTTATTACTTACAATTTTTTTCGAGATTTGTTAAATAGTTATTAAAGAGGGCTAGTCAAGTTGTATGTATTTGTGTTTTGATTGCGAGAGTGTGTGAGTACCCTGGATACGTGAGCTGTCGCTCGATTCTTTCTTTAAATTACCATCTACGGACCGACTCCCGGTACTAGAGCAGCGGTTGGGAATCCGAGTCGGTGGCGCCCACAACTTTTTTTTTGTATCACTTTTAGGATTTGGTTCCGGCCAACGTGGAACCCCACCCGTCTCCCTGAGCTAGAGCAAGGGTGCGCTGCCTATACTTATTTGAGTCGAGTTGACAGTGAGAGGAGGACATTGCAGGTAGGGTGGTAGCGCCATAGGTGACTGCATTCTTATTTGGTTACTGTATTCTGCTTCGGCTATTTGCCAAGTTGGCGTTTGTACCATGTATCCGCGCGAGAGCTTTAAATGGAATTTTATCAGGTGTTTTAAAAAGTTTCGACTTGAAATTTTGAAATATCATTAAGAAAGTAGAATTAATAGTATATGATATATCATTCCCACGAGGGGAATGATAAGGTACTAGATTAAAATTTAAATGCTTGTGTAACGGTTAACCGTCTAACGCTAATTAAACTTTTATTTTTAAACTGCACTCCGTTTCATAAATGAAGCCGAATCCTATGTCGCACTTGGTATTTTATAACAAAAGAAAACAACTCTTGTAAAATAAAGAAAGGACGTATGTCACTTGTTTTTTAGTAAATGACAATTATGTAACACTTCCAGGTATCTGCTGCTGTCATAGCTTCAATGCACTTTCCTAGAAAGCATTCAAATTATTAAAACACGAAAATGCACTTTTATCCGCTCAATAGTTGACAATAATGAATAATCCCTCTTCAAGTTAGTAACTTAATTGAACTAATAAATCGGCTAGAAAAATTAATGGAGCGTAACGAAGACCATTAAAACAAAAAGTTTAATTTAACTTTCAATGGAAGCAATTTTTGTATATATCTAATCTGATGCTCGAGATCAAATCTTTAGTTTACGTTTTAATAAATCGCAAAAATGTCTATTTTTTCTCTCATCTTGCAAGGATTGTGGAGGACTAATCAATATTAGAGTTCATTTATCTTGGAGAGGATCAGCGATGATCGCGAAGCGTATAATTAGAAGCTAAAGTTGTAACTAAGAAATAAAGAAGAATGGGGCGAAATTGAGTGCAACATAAAAAGGATTCTTGCCTTGTTCACGTAAAAAGTCGCAAGAAAAACTGCTAATGTATTTCGGGCCTGCCGTTATTTAACCGACAAATTTCGTTTATTGATTTTTCAGTACTGCTTCAATCATTCTGTATAAAGGAAAATGGAAATAATTTCAACCATTAACCGACATTCATTTTCTGCAATGCAAGTTAACTGCAAATTTTCCCCGTCGTTTAGCACGTGATAAACCTTCTTGGGTTTCAATAGTATCCACTTTACAAAGTCGACATGTGATTGTTTTACAAAGTGATCAAGAGTGGGATTTCAAAGTTTTAATGGTCTAAATTAAATTGAGAGGGTTTGCGATTATAAAACTCTACAGATTTTTTTAATCAACACTTCATGAGCTTTTAATTGCATCTGGAGTAGTAAAAAGACTTGTTAAAGTTTTCAAATTGAAAGAATAGCGTCCGGTAATTTCCATGTCACTGAAGTTAATAACACTTAAAATTAACTTCCTTTTGCTAATTACCATTTTTATTAATTTTGTAGATAAGTAACTTACTATAGGTGCGATTTAGGTATGCAATAAATGTGTGGTACGTATACTGTACAAACAAAAACGGTTTGAAAATTACTGGGTTTACGATTTTTTGCTAATTAGCTCAGATATGTGGGGTAAACAAAAGCGTTTTTGGCAATTTTAATTAATCATACTACACTGATCTTGTATATGAAGGCACTCGGTTGTAAGCCTTTTCAATTAGTTGTTTACATAACAATAGCAACATTTAATTCGCATCGTGCTATATCATCATTACTCCTCTGGCTTTTATCACATTAAAGTCAGTTTAAATAGATGTAATTACATGGGTCATAGATACGTGTCCATTACGCGAAATGTTGCTGTTTAGACGGGTAATACGATTACAAAAGATAGATGAGTTAGTGCTAGATGCACATTTTTGTATGTATTAAGTTTTATGGGCAAGGTGGATTTAGGCCTCCTGGGAATACCACGTTAAAAGACCGCCCCATTAATTCCACCTCCTGAGTGGTGTGGAAACAGATTTGTATTGTAATGACGATATACTTAATTTAACGAGTATGTATTGTAATAATGATATAATTAATTTTTTCTATTTCGGTGTCACAATGATGATTTTGAACAACTGTTTTCGGCCGAAAACAGTTGTACAAAGACAGTGATTATAGTCGTTTTTTTGGTAACTCATCTCTTAAGTTGGCAGTTACTAAAAGTAGGTACTTCGTTGTGTACTTCCATGTTTGAACTTCAAAATGTCAGTCTCAAAACGCGGCCAACCTAAAACTTAACGGCATAAAAAGTGTTCCCAACATAAAACATGTTAGTTCTAATGTTCCCTAGGTATAGTTTATGATAATGATTTTTTTTAATTAAATTAAAGCACCGAAATAGAAAAAATAGTATGAAAAACGCGTGTTACAATGCTTTATTGTAATACTCCTATCTTGTGGACACTCGTGGCTACGCTTCGCGTCGCCACTCGTGCCACAAGATAGTCGTATTACAATAGCTCGCATGGTAACACTTGTCTTTCAATATACTATTTTGTACAACTTTTGTAAGATTTAATTGAAGATGATTTGAAAATAAACAGAATAAAAACTTGTTTGGCAAATTTTAAGTTTCATCAGCTATTTCAGAATAGGTACGTGATAAAGATAGACGCAATGAGTAAGAGAAAGATAGCGCATTCATGTCTAAGAGAGAGATAGTGAACATGTGTAAAATAATAGGACGTCACACGATGAGTTCCCATTTTTAAAATAATTGATTTCAGTCACCGCGAATACCGCTATTGATTACAATTTTGATTTAATTAAATCCGCGATTAATTTAATCAAAGTGTGGAACTGTAAATTAAATTCATTCAGTGAATAAATCAGACAATTTAATTTAATTGGACAATTTAATTCAATTAAATCGCAAATAAAAAAAATCAAGTGCAAAACCGCGAATAAGTTGGACAATTTAATTAATTGAACCAATTTATTTCAATTAAATCAGGGAAACCGCGAAATTAAATTAATGCGCCGAAATTACTCAACCAATCAGAGCGCGAATTAAACCGCGAATAAATCCACAATGGCCGTCAAAGTGGTGTTCTTCTACTCATGTAGTCTTTATTTATAAGTAACCGTTCCAATTCGTTACCTATTTTAAGGACAGACCGCCAAGCTTTCCTTCTTTTGTTTATTGTTCCATCTCATAGATATTTAATCACTGCCGATAGGCGAAGGTCTTTAGTTCAAAACGGCCAGTTTAGACGGAAACGGTAATGTGTATAAATAATGAAAATCAACAACGCAAAGTCCTGTCACGGTCGCCATTAAATGTAATGTTACTCGACTCGAAGTACCCGTTTGACTAATACGTCGGTTCGGAAAAATCTAAAGGGACAAAGCAAGGTTGAATATCTTAAATATCACATTCACTCAGACCGTACTAAACTTCTTTAATCGTATGATAGAACACCATCCAAACTTTACAAATTCTTAACATTAGTCTTGAGAAGACGGCAACAGATTAACAACTTTTTCAACTTTGACTGGAAAATTCAGGCCCAAGACGTATTGAAGATATTTGTTATCCCACAAATCAAATGTCCAGATGTTTTTGAAGATCAAATAACTTCCTGATCTTTACATTTTATTACAGTTGTCTTCTAATTATCGCCTTATTTGGGCGATTCGGGGAATCAATGTTACGCCACGGATTACAGAAACAATTGGAGTAACATCCTTTCGGTGATTCTCTATCGAACTACTTAATTCAGATAGTAATAATTATGGTGGGTTTATAAAATCATTATCATTAGTTGGCTATCAATAGATCATTAAGAAATAGGCAATAGAAACAAGGTTTATTGTGCGTCACTAACCAACGAAACCATACCTTTGCTTCTATTGGTTATTTTTTAACGATATAATAATAGTGAAGTATAATGTTAATGATTGCTTAAATCCAACACACTAATACCTAGTATTGGAGTTATCTATGATTGTTTTATATGAGTAATAGAAAATTCATTTAAACGTCCTTACCCTAATAAAAATTGAGTAAATACTTACAACAAATAGCTCAAAATGCAGTAATGTTCCCACATGCAAATTTCCATCGAGGCTCCGAACGTCTGAATCAATCTGCAAAGAAAAACAAACATTATTTCAAATTTTGGTGTAAACTGAAAATACTTTTTAAAAAGAAAGAAACACTTTTAAGAACACGATCAGTGTTTAGACACCAACTTGAACCAATAAGGAGGTCGTAAAATGTATTGACCTCTGACAGTAAATCAATATTTCCATTTCCGTATTATTTATTTACCATCAACATTCAAAGAAAGCAATAAAGTTAAAACGTAAGAGTACTACCACTCTTCTGCATTAGGCTAATACACTACGGTAATTGAGAGGAATGGTACAAAACTAGAGTGCTGATGCACTTTCATTGTATTTCCTCTTAAATAACAGAGACATACATGCCAGTTGGAATTGGCTTTTTTTTAAATTTTAAAGTGGTTTATTTGCAGGGATCTGATGAGAGGGAAGAGTTAAAGCAATTTATAGTCATTAGCGCTTATTTTTAGCTTTGAAGCTAAACAGGCATTTTTAAAGGCAATTAAATATTGCGTACCTACACTGTGATTGTATTATAAAGTAGTAATGAGCATAACGGAGGACTGCAGCAGCTTCCTGATCGAACGATGTCATTTCGTGTCTAGGATGTCCATTTTGCGCTTAGCGGAAACTTTTTTAGTTATAATCATACACGTAACGAAAGGTACAGTTATATAAATATTTATTGAGATTCACTACTTCGCAATTAAGCAGTTATTAATGTAATTGCACATGCTACCGTTGAAAGGGCAAACATTTACAATCGATTTACAAAAGGAACATTTACACGTGTCATCATCATAAAAAAATAAAGCAGTTAATTTGTACAGTCAAAGAGGCATATTTATGGATCCCCGTATTGTGTTATTATTATAGCTTTAGCTAATATTATAATACTAGACTTTCCATGCGTGTATTTTACTCCGCTCTTGAAGATGCACGTAAAAGGATAATGAATAATAGTATACACAAATCATTTGAACTCAATTAAATGTGTACCAGTGTACTTACTCAATAATTCCCTTATGTATAAATTAGCATACTACACACCAACAGATATTCTATGATGATCTAATCTGTATTTCAGCTCCAATTTTTAGGTAAAATGAAAAATTCGTTCTTATAGTAAATTTTGTATAAGAATCACTGATTCAGTGAATCCCATGTTCAATCACTCCTTTAGTCCTGCTATAAATTTTCATTTTACATTTTCATGAATCCATCCCTTACAGAGTAAACCCAGGCCCAGCCGATAAACGACTGTGCAACTCAAAACCAAAAATAAAAACTCCCGCAAAAACTAAGTGAAACCCATGGCACATGATACATTTCCTATTCATACGAGAACTAATAACTCTAGAGGCTTCATTGATTACAAGGAAGGAAAAAAGAGCTATTGAAACCCTTTCAGGATACGTACTTACTTACTCTCTCACATCTTTCCCAATATGCATTTTACAATTTCACATTATAATAGTTTTCAACCATTTTCATCATTTTGATCATTTTGGTTCAACCTGTTTAATTGCAATATAGAGTGAGAGGTTTCGAGATTCACTCCAAAACAGTTTTTATATAACACAAAACTATTCAGGAGTCATGAAAAAGTACTACATTTGGGATTCATGCAAAATAAGATGGTGGGAAAATACCGCTGCAATAAAACAAATCAAAAATCCGCTGACCAATCGTACCAGCCAATAACAATAATCGTAATTGGATTTTAAAGTCGTCTTCCTGCGAATGGTTAAAATATAAAATACATGTGAAAAGTTCCGTAGCAGTACACCAAATCTCCCAGATACCATAAATTATCTAAACACCTTGTATATTAATCTCAAAGGAAAGTCATCCACACCTATGGAAAATTCGTCTACGTCTACGTATGTATCAAAAATTAATTTTGCCCCACATGGTATTGGAACCCTGTACTAATCCTCAATCTTCCCCTAACAAATAATCAATCTAACCCCTAAACTCGCAATTCCCATAAACGGACATCATTGAAGCGACATGGACAATGAAACTTCTATGTACAAGTAAGAAGACATTATGAATGTGACATATCTAACAAATAAACAAAGCTACCATGGGAAGATGGGAAGAGTAGAGCAGAGACAAACATCAAAGGAAGAAAGAAAGCAGAAGAGTACTGGAGGTGGAGGAAGAATCAGCCAAAAGGACAAGTAGCCAAGGGGAGGAAAAAAAGGGGACAGAAAGTAACACAGGGGGAGGATAACAATAAAAAGGGCTAACACGAGGGAAAACAGGGAAGGGAACGAGGCCATCACTAGAAAGCAGATATACCAGTGGCGAAGCTGTGGCCGTACCCGTTCGGGTCGGATAACACCCAGTTAGCCATAAGGGCCTTTGAGGTCACTAAGGAGACTTTCTGAGTGTTAGTCTCAAAGACCTCCTAAGAAACGCCTACTATCCTTAAGAGTTTTTAAAATCCTACAGAGTCTTCTAATGCTTTTCGAGACTTTAGGTTTTTAATGCTCTTTAATCGTTGACTGGAAAAAGGTGCCGTGAGTATACTGTTGAAGAGCCTTTAAAACTATTTATTTATTTGTTTGTTTATTTATTTGTTTGTTTATTTATTTATTTATTTAATTGATCTGCTTTATAATAGATATTAAACCCAATTTCTACAAGACCGTGAAGGATAAAACTAGTTCTACTCCCCCCCCCCTCCATCCCGTACTTTGATAAGAGGACAGAATGAAGGGCAGAAAACGGTTCCTTTCGTTGAGATCTTTAATTAGTATACAATGAGAGATAAAATTAATTTTTAACCCCCCCTCCCCCTCACCCGTCGCTCACTGATCTCGAAAAAGAGTCGCACAGGAAAGTTCGAAACGGAAAAAGTGAGTCCGGACGGACGGACAAAACGAAAACAATAGCACATTTTTTTTTAATTCTTAAAAAATGCGCTAAAAAGTACAAAAGTATAAACATTTTGGGGATTTTTCAAAACTATTCGGTTTTCCAGTGCCTCGATGAGTGTTTTACGAACTTTTAAGAGGTTAAGAGGTCTTAAGAGCCGCTTAAAATATCCTAGAGTCTTTAAAATCGCCCTAGAGAACTTTCTAAATGCTTTATGGATCATTTTGTTTTAAGGGTCTTTCATACTTGAACTTTCTAAAGGTTTTATGGACCTTTAATGGCTTTCATGAGACTGTGCGGGGTTTTTAGAGGTAAACTGCCCATTAGTAACTAAGAGCTCATCCCTTACCAAGTTCTGTGCTTGTAAGAATCTTTTAAGAACTTTGAGAGCCTGTGGATCTTTAAGGATACGTGGGTATCTTCAAAACAATTAGGTAAAGTACCCCCTTTCGTACAAGGAATTATATGTACTACTTTTATTGAACACATTGTACATTGATGGAATCCATCATCATTATTGAACACCCGGCGCTTCTTTACGAGAAACAGTAACTCCCGGCCCTATGTATTTCTTTTCTAGGAGATGGAAACAGAGGGTAAAAGTAGTTGCTTTAAAGTGTAGTTGTTTTATTCGCCGATAATGGAACCGGGTGTCGTGTATAATTATTCATTGTTCTAATTGATTCCGTAGAGTTTAATTATTTTTGTAAGGTCCGTAAGCTCTTTTTGCTGGGAAGATGGGGAAGAATTAATATTGCATAATTTCATACCCTTTAATTATTTATTAGCATTTTAGTTCACAATGGTAAGTGGAAACTAGGATAGATACGGATAAGGTCATCACTTGCACGATAAAGTAACATGTCGCTTGATTCCAACATTCCGGGACGCGATTAGTGTTAATACCGAATTTGGAATTTCAATCCGGCCAATTAAGTAAGTATAGTTACCCGTAATTCATTAATTGTGTCGCAGCAAACGTTATCAAAATGCTGGCCTGTTGTAAAATCCAAAGGCCCTTTCCGCATTTTGGGAATTCTATATGAGGTAACACCATGGGGATATTTTTAAGCTCTAAAAGACACCGTTGAAGGATTTTCAACTTGTTATTTCGCTTCTGTAGAAAACTAGAATTATTGCTATAAATATTATCGAGCGGATGTAGAAACATGACAAACATAGTCATATTAATTTATAGTAGAATATGCAAAAATCAAATTTTGTTTTGCAGCACCTTTTAAACGATAAGAGTATACACTTTTTAACATTTTTGGTATCTCTTTAATTGAAAACCAAATAGAATCTGTAACAAATTATTATATTTTCATAAAACATGTACCTATAGGTAAAAACTGACACACATTAAGTAATTTTCTTTGTGCATTACATTAGCAAACTAAGGTCTAATGGATCTCACCTCCCATTAGGACCAACCGAATGTAATATTAACACCGATTAATAATTAACTATTGAAATAACCACATCCTCCAACGTTCGTTACCTAAAACCTAGAGTCCCGGCTGCTTTAAAAAGTACCTATGTCAAAATCAAAATTGCACACGTGAGATATAATAACAAAGTGCACATTAGCAAGTTAATATAGGGATAATGGGTACGATACGTTTCCCATTAGATTTTTGTTGTCCTGGAAACGTTGGCGTACAAATAGAAGGGAGGTAAATTCCATTTCCCCGATGGATGTCAACATCCCTGCTGACGTCAATCTGTAACCCGCTTACTGATAGTTTAAATATACGGAATTTTAAATGAAAGCTCTCCGGCAATAAAAATGCCCGGTATGGTATGCGACACCTAAGGTCAAAGCTAAAAAATGAGCATACCCTCGCAGATAAAAATTTCAATCAATCTTTTGATATGCGTTCTTTATGCACATAAGGGAAAATCGTGAATACAGATATCGAATGATAAATCGCGCCGCATTTTGTGAAACGTGAATTTCGCATATGTACAGAGAAAAAAAAAGATGTAGAAAAAAACAATGAATACGGTAGTGATTTGATTGTATTTTCGTCTGTCGAACATTCGCGTTTTCTTGTTTGACTGTGAAAGTGGGCGACTGATATTGAAAAATCTTTTATGTCGATGTATATTGAGTGTTTAAATAAAATGTCATGCAAAATGTTCAGT